CACTTTTGCAAGATCTTCTAAGTGGGGAAGAGTACAACAATATCTCGAACAAAAAATTTTCAAATCGGGCTCTAGGACTGACCGTCTACCTAGATGTAATGTCCAAGGACGTGAAAGCTTCTAAAACAAAAGGCTTAGGACAAACTGAGCTAATAATTACAAATGTCTGTACATAGTGACTAGTAATTTATGAGCTTAGGCTCATCCTGTAAACAAAATAGAGCATAGCTCAAAAAATAAAGTATCTAAGATCACTATGGAATGACACAAAAAACACTTGAGAAAACGTTTTCCTGATTTAGCATGGTGCAACGGTGTACTGTCGGAAATACGCGCGATGCGTGATCTTATTAAGTCATCAGGCTCAATAACAAAACCCTTGACAACGCTAGTTTTTCAGCATACGTAAGTATCACAACATCAAACTCAGGCGTTATAAAATTAACGAAAGTACAAAAATATTCCTGCAGACAACATAAGAAACTCGATGATGTATATTGTGTTAGCACCCCCAAAAAAGGGAAAACTTTTGAAAATTTAATCACTATGGAATGACGCAAAAAACACTTGAGAAAACGTTTTCCTGATTTAGCATGGTGCAACGGTGTACTGTCGGAAATACGCGCGATGCGTGATCTTATTAAGTCATCAGGCTCAATAACAAAACCCTTGACAACGCTAGTTTTTCAGCATACGTAAGTATCACAACATCAAACTCAGGCGTTATAAAATTAACGAAAGTACAAAAATATTCCTGCAGACAACATAAGAAACTCGATGATGTATATTGTGTTAGCACCCCCAAAAAAGGGAAAACTTTTGAAAATTTAATTGATCTATTGAGAGGTTAACATAGAATATCCTGAAATCCGATGTGTTGCCTACAGGGTTTGCTCAAGACTACGGGAACGCCTTGCCGACAAATGCCAAGTAGCACGAAACTCGTGTCCAGGGTTTCTTGTTGACTACCTCCAACCACCATTAAAGCTCAGCATTGTACATGGAGTGCCGAGTCACCTAGACTAGTGGCCACATTGCGATTTGGTCGATAGGATTCGATCCGCACTAAGGAGGATCTGACATACATTACAGTAATCACCAACCATTGATCAATCAATCGTAAACCTATATCGTTGGTTCATATGAATCTTCCTAAGTGATTCTAGACAAATAGTGCCGTAAATATCACAAGCTAGACACGTGATTTGTTGTTTAAATACAATCATGCTATTCAAATGACATTAAATCCCTAAAATCTTTTCACAGTACATATATTTTTTATCTGAAAAACACCAGCTTATAAATCTCACTTTAACCTCTTCATTCACTGTTGTTAAGTTTATTCTTGGTTCGCATCAGATTATAACTGACTATAATTTGGTGCTATCATTACACCGCTATTAATGTGTGTTTTACCATACCTTAATGTTTAGACCATTTGGTCCCAAACACTTGAGGTTCATCAAACTCTGTTTTATTGGTTGAATTCTTGTAACTGATCGACTTGTTTGGTCGCTTGTAAATAGAATATTCTTTGTTGGTAAAGAACAGTTCTTTTCTTCAACAAGCAACCAATATTGAGTCCTTATTCAACTTACTTGATATATAGCAGATGTTTGTGTGCACGCTTTTTTAAAGAAATTCTCATGCTTGTGTATTGTAAATCTGGGGCCACTGAAGTATGTTATACATTTTATATCTGTGTTTGTGCTTGAATAGTATCACAAACATCATCAAGCATTTGTTTTAGTATCGTTTACATGAAAACGCATCTTTTTACTTCTAACATTACTCAGAGACAAGTCAGTATAATCTTCGCTATCACAGTAGTTTCCAGGAAAGCACAGAATATGTTTCCTTTTTTATTTTTTGTACCAGATGAGTAAATTAATAAACTGATGGGTCTCATAGTTTTCCTAAATCATAAATATTCTTTAAATAAAAATTAATTCTATGACTTTATGAATAAGATTCACCTTGACGTAGTGTAATCCACCATCATATCAAAAACACTGACTCGGAATTCTGTAGGGCTAGGGTTGCTGTGTAAAAATCGGTCATGGTAACAGCGATAATAGCAATGATTTGCTCCCAAATGGTGAACTGGATCTACATAGAGTGGCAACAACGGTGGTCTGTTATGTTTTCCTGTTCTTCATTTCTTAGACTGACGAGTAATGACTACAATACGACAATCACATTAGATATATCTGGCATACAATCGATACATAGGAGGAAGGATGAAATTGATTATTGGCTACCGAACAGAGATGTCGGCTAATCATGGCTTAAAAATTAATGGACATAGATTTTAAACATTCACATGTTAGACGGTCACGAAAACTTCACTTCATTTAGACTTACCTCACTTCGCACCTAGAATTAAAGTACTAGGACATACGGTGAACAGTAAAGTGATCAGTATTGTCGTTCAACGAGTAAACTTTACTTGTATTCATGCTCGACCACACGACGTTTGTCGCAACGCTATCTCAATAAAGCACCAATCCATATGGCGAATATCCAAGTCTACCAACATTCACATTGTAGTGTGAGAAAATGTAACCTCCTGTTTTTATAATCAATCTGTTTTATGACAATATCAACCCAAATGAGTGACTTATGACAGTAAATCCTGTAGCACTTGTAACGATTTGACCTTGCCTCTAAAATGGTATGCCCCGTCTAATATATTTGTTTGAAAATAACTTATACTATCATAATAGCTGTGAAAGATCTGAGATGTTTTTTGCTATTGAACTAAGGCCCATCATCTTAGAGATGACGCCCTTTATTTTATAATAAACTAAATTGTGTAATGACAGTTTCAGATTCTCTAAATCAACGGCGTTCACCAGCATATTTTTCATGGGAGAAATGTCATCCTATTTGATTTTCCTTGAACTTGTACAGCGAAGCGAAACAGAAAAAGCATTTCAACCTGCAATATATTTTGCTAGCACGCATAATGATATGTGGTCGAGGTGGGGAGAATAAAGAGTGGTTGTTTGCTGGCGGATAATGAATTTTTCATCTCGTTGGGCAACACTCTGTTGAAATCCCTTCCTGATACTGAGAGTAGTGTGATGTCTCTCTAGTTTCCTAATTTCACCCGTAAGTTGATTAAATATCTTTCTTTTCAGTTTTTCGGCATTTATTTTTCCTCCCAAATCTTCCTGAAAAGAACTGAGTCTTTCATCTGGTTGAGCAACATTGTTGAAAACTCTTCCTGGTGCTGATAGTTAATTGATGCCTGTGTGGTTCTCATATTTTCTCAGACTTTCTTACTTCAGTACCTTGATGAATTACATGGAATGTTCGATTCGAACAGGTTGTAACACCAGTATAAGTGAATGCCTTCAGTAATAATCTAAACCTCATCTGGAGAACATTACTTGAAAATTTAAAAGATCGAGAAACCTACTATTTTTACAACTGCAGACTTTTTATTTAGTATTTTATGTTTGTTTTAGTGTTTACAAGGTTAGATACCACTGATACCAAACAACCGCACAAATTGAAAAATGGAAGCAAGTTATGTTTACTCTAAAAAACGCTCCGAATTCGGGAGGCAGTGTAATTTTAGCGACAAAAATGCTGAAGTCCTGATAGAAATATTACCGGATGCAGAGTTGTCTCAAAAGTTTATCGAAATGAATCCTGTAGACAAAGGTATTCAGTGCTCCCAAGAAATGTCTGAACACGAAGCCAACACCGAAAGGTACAGATCAGAAACACATGGAATGAATCACACGGAGGGTGGCTGGCCGAAGGATGTCAATCCGCAGGAACCTGATCAGGTAATTAGATTTCGAAAGAAAGTTGAAAAGGAAGACGTCTATATTGCGACAGTTCATAAACTAGGAAACGTATGTTCCTTTTCATAATTATTATCATAACAGATTATGGAACATTGTATTAAACAAAATAATGCCCTAAACATATACGAGAACTACTTCGATGATGTGTATCTAAATGCTTCTGAAGATTCCCCATCTGCAAAGACCATAAACGTTCTAAAGTGAAACAAGTTCATTTTTATATTTTGATGATTTAGAGACATAAACGATTATAAGCGTAGCGTTGCCTACTTATCTTGGTTTACAGATGGCCCAACGAAATTAGCAGTTGCTTACTGTAACACGGAGTTTCAATCTCAGTCCCTATCGAATGATTCATATATATGGGACTTAAACAATCCCAATAGACCAGAGTTGATACTTAAACCAGCTTCTCCTCTTGTTTGTATAGAATACAACCCCAAAGACTCTCATACGTTAATTGGGGGATGTTACAATGGACAGTTGGGTAAATAATATTTGAATTCGTCACGTTCTCAAAACTTAGCTTTCTGGGACAGGCGTAGGGGCTCACTCCCAGTTGAATTATCTCCAGTTGAGCATAGTCATAGAGATCCTGTCTGGAAAACGCTGTGGATACAATCGAAAACTGGTACTGAGTGTTTCTCCACTGGGACCGATGGACAAGTTTTCTGGTGGGATGTTAGAAAGATGTCTGAACCTACAGAATTTCTTTACCTTGACCCTACCAAAAAACAAGACATTTCTTGTGCTCAAGGTGTAGTGAACAAGAACACGGGTGGGGACAATCGAATGTATTTAGCTCGAAAATTACAGACTATCTCAACAAAATCTGAATACCATAAAGTCAATCGTCAATTTGCAAATTATCAATACATCATATCAAACTGTACTGTTCAAGCTGCAAACACTAATCCATTGTCTCCCATTCCATTGTTCATAAGTTTTCTTACAAATTCCATTATGTTCTTGCTCCACCTTTCTTGGTCTTCGCCATCTTTTGCTGCCGAGCATTACGTTCTTTTAACGCACGTTATATACTACTTATGTCAATATAAGTAGCTCACACCACACTCGTCCCCCCCCTTTAAAGCAGTCGTTCTTGTGGTGGTTCGTGCTCGCCGTGCAACATTCTCCGTCTCTGCAGCCTGTGCCACGCTCTCCGTCAAAATGTCGAGTATGCGGGGCGCTGACTTCCGTAGCTCCGTCGATCTGCCGGGAAAACAACAACCGACATCCACCCGGCACCTGGGACGCTTGACACCCGTACTCCACCGGCCTGCTGAGCCATCTACATTCGATGTCCGCCCAGCAGCCGCGCGTCCCACCGCTCCTCCCCGCCGACAGCATCCACTACAGCCAACGCCGCCCCGCCAGAACACTCCACCAGACGCCGCCTCTCCGCACCAGACTGCCCCAACTGGCACCTCAGCCCCATGCCCGCAACGGCTTCCGCAGAACAGCACCCTCCTCCTCTCCCGGTTGGCAGCGACACCAAATGTAGTGAACAAGAACACGGGTGGGGACAATCGAATGTATTTAGCTCGAAAATTACAGACTATCTCAACAAAATCTGAATACCATAAAGTCAATCGTCAATTTGCAAATTATCAATACATCATATCAAACTGTACTGTTCAAGCTGCAAACACTAATCCATTGTCTCCCATTCCATTGTTCATAAGTTTTCTTACAAATTCCATTATGTTCTTGCTCCACCTTTCTTGGTCTTCGCCATCTTTTGCTGCCGAGCATTACGTTCTTTTAACGCACGTTATATACTACTTATGTCAATATAAGTAGCTCACACCACAAAGGTGCGTATGCACTGGAGTACGAATCTACAATGCCAACGAAGTTTATGGCTGGAACCGAGCAGGTAAGTTGACCAACCCTATCTTTTATAAAAATGTAACATCCTTATCAGAAACTATTTCTGGGGCAGAAACTTTAGGATCTTGCTTCACAATCCAACTTGTTGGTTGTTAGGTAAGATGAATTCGGAATCGCACCGACTTAAGCACATGGTAAACTTTTGCCCGGCCGTTGTTGCTACCTTGACGTGGTGGTCGGGCTTGCCCATCGTGATGAGCCGATCGAGCTATACTGGCTGGAACAATCGTTCCTCAAGGCTCTACAATGACTGACAGGTCGGTTGAAGAGCGGTACGACTAAAAGCAACAAACCCAAGGCCCGAGAGTGAATTCGTACTACTAACTGTGCAAACGTGTGACGGCAGTAAAGGGTTTACCTCAGACAACCAGCATAACAACGATGCTACCTTTCCACAATGGAAGGGTGAGGTTAGAAAAGGTTGACCCTAAAAATGCACAACTCGCCTTATCCCACGGATTTCATTCTCCGGCGGTAAGGTCTCAACAAGTACGGAGCTAACACAGAAATACCCACAAACAAGTCGTATGTGACCGACCTCAAGCAGTTGTCCCTTGGGCACTGCGGTCACGCTCTCAGACCACTAAGACCAACTCTAGCTCAATTTCCTTTTCAGGTACCTCTGAAAGAACCCTTCTACGGTGTGGGCAACCGGGCAGTGATAACGGCCCTCATACCTCTAACAGCACTCAAGACCACTGTATTCATAATCAACCTCCCTCTTCAATTCCCATCATCCCTCATACATCAACTTTCAAGCCTAAACTTCCTCCCCGACTGCAACCATGGCTAACGGCTCTAGTGCGCGAAATACTGTCTCAGGTCTACTGAAGTCTCGCTCCAAACTACACATTCGAGTCTTCAACGTACGCACCATAATGTCAAATCGGTCAGCATGCCTCCTTGGCTAAAACCCTAGAATCTCGTACCATCGGTGTATGCTGTGTCTCCGAAACACGCATACAGGATCCTGATATGATCATTCACTTGATCTCACCTCTCCAAAACGCAGAGCCAACCAGATACACCCTCCGTTGATCTGGCGACCCGATGGCTAGTTCTTATGGATCGGCAGGTGTGGGCATAGCACTAAGTATGAGGTCAGAACAAGCACTATTAGAGTGGATCTCCGTTAACAGTCGTCTATGTGCTATTCGGCTAAACGGCTCCGTGAGAACTTGGAAGGATAGGGACACACGTCGTTGCCTTTTCGTAATTTCTGCCTACGCACCCACTAATTGCAGCCCGGATGAAGTGAAAGATGATTTTTACAGGAAGCTTTATGAATTCCTTCATAAAGCTAAAGGCTCAGACATAGTACTCATATTAGGTGAATTTAATGTCCAAGTAAGTAGCTTAAACGAAACAGAAATACATTTAAATGGGTATTTTAGTGTTCCGGCTCAGCGAACAGATAATGGTGATCGTCTTCCTCAACTGTGCTCAGACAATCGTTTATTTATAGTGAGCACTAATTTAAGCAGAGACATTAGAGAGAGCACTATTTTAAGCATAAGGAGATACATCGTTTAATATGACGGTCCCCTGCACCAAACCAACAATGGACTCTAATATACCATATTGCCATTAGTTATAGTTGGAAAGGGTCGATAGAAGATTGTCGTTCGTTCTGGAATACCTGCTAGCACCTCACTGTACGCAGAAAGGCCACACTAAGAAGACGTATAAAAATTGAGTAAAGTGAAGAGAAAACCAAAAGTAGATTCTAAGACCAACTAAAGTCACACTTAGGTAGTTCTGAAATCGAGGGTAACCCAGAGTTGGACGTTATCCCACCTGACTGGTCACAATCACTGATTGTCTCAATATATAAGAATGGATCAAAATCATCCTGTGACAACCATAGAGGGATTAGTTTGACTAATATAGCATCTAAAATACTAGCCTCGATAATTATCGGACGCCTAACTAAGACTCGTGAACTGCAAACACGAGAAAATCAAGCTGGCTTCAGACCTGGTCGTGGCGGCATCGACCACATATTCACCATTCGTCAGGTTCTAGAACACAGGCATACTTATCGGCGTCCGGCAATGATGGTCTTTCTTGACTTAAAAGCAGCATTTGACTCTGTAGACCGAGAGGTTCTATGGCAGTGTCTGTCATTGAAAGGTGTACTTCAGAAGTTCATAAATCTTGTGAGGGCTCTTTACTCGAACACTACTAGTCGAGTCAGAGCTTATGGCAAACTGTCATGCGATTTTGCAACTTCAAGTGGTGTCTGGCAAGCTGTTCACTATCTCCATTCCTGTTCAATTTCATCGTAGGTCTACCGCTGGGAATAACGTTCTCGTTATCTGAATTTTCAGGAATTGGTCTTCTTCCAGGAGGTCCACTTATCGACTTAGAATATGCAGATGACATAGTCTTGTTTGGTGAAGACGCTGATAAAATGCAGTGTTTTGGTAGCACCGAGCAACAATGCCAGGATGTTTGGGATGCGCTTCTCCCCCTCTAAATGCACGTTGTTGCTTCAGAACTTGCCTGCGTCAACACCTGAACTAAGGATAGAGAGCGAAGCAGTCGGAGGTGTCAACAACTTCACTTATCTTGGAAGTCTGATCAGCCGTAGTGGGTTGGTGTCTGGCGAAATCTCAGCACGGATTCGAAAAGCTCGTTTGGCTTTTGCCAACTTACGTCACCTATGGCGAAGGCGAGATATCCGTCTATCAATAAAAGGACTAGTATACTGCGCGGCAGTTTGTTCTGTTCTACTTTACGGCTGCGAAACGTGGCTATTAAGAGTAGAAGATACTCGCAAGCTTCTAGTATTTGACCACAGATGCCTTTGAAATATTGCTGGCGTCTGCTGGGATCACAGAGTAAGTAATAGTGAGGTTAGACTCACATATTAGGGAATTATGGTAAATCAGTCGTTGTGATTGTAAATCCTCATCGACTGAGATGTTAAGGCAACGTGTTACGCATGCCCAACCACCAACTTCCACTGTGTGTAATGCTGACTAGTGTTGGATACGGATGGAAGGAAGTTAAGTTTGGACAAACCAAAACGTGACATTGGTCCTTTAAGTCACTAACGTCTGGTCCGAGCAATGCTGATAGATGGAGATTACCTGGTTGTGGTCCGCGCGACCGTCGTAACCAATGATTGGAGACTGGGTGACATGGCTGAGAATTGATCAAACTAACATAGGTGTGTACACTCTTTGTCCCACCTTCGATTGTGGAGTTAACTTTGTCTTACATCTTTCTTTCTGTGAACTAATTCTTTCTCACTGTACTATATCTTTATACACAATGTTTTTCATATTACTACCATTGAAGTGACTATTTCTATGAATCCGGTGTTCATCTGATTGTGCTAATGAATTTTGGCAAGTTGGACCGACGCAAATATAAGCCTGGTTCTGTGTTGTACCTGACTGACTGACTAAGATTTTGTCTCTATAATCGAGGAGTGTTATGAATTATTAACAACCAAATTTTTATTACATCCACCAATAATCATAGATCGTTCGTTTCTCGCTGTATTTAGTAAATGTGGCATGCTCAGTTTTATGAAATTTCACTTCTTATTATTTAATTACTTTTACATGTATCATTAGTTGATACCAAACTAATATGAATTTATCTAAATAAATGGGAAGTGAAACCCTATACACAATATTATTATATTGGATAACGATTTATGTCCCAAAATATCTTTTAAATATGTGATATGTTTATTTGATCAATTGACTATATGACCGTATTCACTCTCATGGTATGTTATTCCATTTTTGATTGTGAACACTGTCAAAAGGTTGCTTTATATGCATATATGTTCGCCGCTTATTTAAACATATTCATTTTTCATAAAAATGATGCTTGATAGCTTAAATAAACGTCTTGAAACAGCTGTTTTTTATACAGTGCTTTGATATATTTGCCGACTAACATCACGTGACAAATGAAATTTTCCGACCTAATTCTACCAAATTTATGGCCAAACACGGAAAACATTACAAAGTGAATACATAACTGAAGCTCTACTACTTAACCCAGATCATCGCAATAAATTTTGAAGGAAATATGGAATGACATTTTCAGTGTTTCTGTAAATATTTATGACGTGATTCAGGCACATAAGGCAGGGTAAGATATTTCTTATATTACATACTAAACCTCGTATTCACTAGACAATAAAAGTATACACGTTTGATAGATCAATACACTTACGACAAATTAACAAGGATTTCCGTCTAAATGGCCAATCTCAACCCCTAAAAAATAATCAAAGCGTGACATAAATGAAATTTACTTATTGCTAAAGCGTTTTCCAGACTACATGTACCTCTATGTGATAATGAATTATGGATGAGAGACCTAAATTAATAGATTGTGACAAAACAACATGATTGATTATGCCTGCACCAGTCGTCTAGAGAAGACCATTGAAGCACGTTGATTAATAATCGTTCATCCCTTATATGACTTATAGGTTGCTTAGAAATAAAGTCATTATATTTGGAAACAGGCTTAAAAATGGAATTAACTTGTTATCATTAATATTAACATTTTACAAAAATGACATATGTCAACCATGTAGCTGATATCGACTAAACAGTGTTACGATGACAGGTTACTAAATAAGACAGGAAGAATGAGGAACGTCCACTTTGAAATGACCCTTTAATTTTTAGGGAATGATTATCTCCTGCAATCGGAAAGGTAAAACACCTGCGGAAAAAATCGTTGCTGTTTATCCTGGACATATTGGACCTATTTATGCATTACAAAGGAACCCATTTTTCCCCAAGAACTTTCTTAGCATTGGGGACTGGACTGCCCGAATATGGTCTGAAGATATTCGAGAATCACCTATAATGTGGACAGCTAACCACAACCACGGTTTGTCGGATGGCTGCTGGAGTCCTATCCGACCGGCC